CCACCCATGCTTTCTTTTCATTACGAGTTGGGTAAAGGTGTCTTTTTCCATCCTTTAATTTTCAGCCTCTGTGTGTCTTTAGATTTGAAATGAGTCTCTTTTAGACAACACGTACTTGGACCTTGTTCCTTTAATATACATCAAGCCACGGGTGGGTATTCAGCACAACAGTTAAGTCACTTAGAGAGCATGCATCACATATTGGAGTGTCTGGTTCTAGTCTTAACTCTTCTGCTTCCAGTGCGGCTTCCTGCTGGTGTACACCCTGGGAGGAAGCAGTACTTGAGTCCCTGACACATTCTCCTGGCTTTAGCCTGTTCCAACCCTAGTTGTAGCAGGTATTTGGGGAGTGAACTATTGGATGAACAGTCTCTCTCCTGTCTCTCTGCCTTTCTCTCTCTGTCCCTTTGCCTTTCAAATAAAATAATTAAATGTTTGTAAAATATGTTAAACCAGTCTATGTCTTTTGATTGAGAAGTTAAACCATTTGCATTTTAAATAATTACCAATTAGGGGAACTTAATAGTGCTGTTCTCTATGCTTTACGGCTTTTTCCCCCTTCATTTTTATTTCGTCTATTTTTTTCTTATCTTTTTGCAGTTTGTTTCTTTTATACCTACTTTTGTGTATTTTATGTTTTGTGTAGATACTTTTCTCTGTGATTCATGGGAAATACTTAAACATATTAAAGTTGTAACTGTCTACTTTAAACTGCTAGCAACTTTAATGACATAGGGGCTCTGTTGCTTCACTTCTCCTTCACCACAGCTTGATGTCATTAATGAAACATATTACATGTTTCGGTATCGTCTGTCCATTAATGTATTTTATGGCTTTTTTATGCATTTGTCTTTTAAATCCTATGCTAGCATTAAATATACTGCAACACTATAATACAGGATTCTGTTTTTGTCTCTTTATTTACTAGAGAGGTATATATGGTAGAACATCAGAAAGTTTGTGGAAAATAGCTGAACAACTGTGCATACATTTCCAGAATATTTTGCACCTAAATAGACTTATCTTTTAATTCCATTTCTTAAAAACTTTCTGAAGTACCTTCATATTTTTGTATGCTTTCATGGTGTTGCCTAGTGTTCTTTCATTTCCACTTGAAGGACTCTGTATTTCATGTAGGACTGGTCTAGTGGTGAAATCCTTCAGCTTTCGTTTATCCAAAGAAGTGTTCATTTATCTTTCATTTTTGAAGGTAGTATTTGTGATACAGTATTCTTGGTTGGCAGTTTTTGGCTTTCAGTATGGTGAATGTATCATCTCATGTCTTCATGCTTTCAAGGTTTCTGCCGAGAAATCTGCTCATAATCTTATGTGAATGGCCTTGTATGTTAAGAGTCACTTTTCTGTTTTCAAGATTAACTGTGATTCTCAACTGCTTGGTTATAATATATTTCAAGGTAGGCATTTTTGGACTAATCATAGTTGGCATCCTTTGAGCTTCTTGAATTTGTGTTTCCATTTCTTTTTTCCATTTTGGGAATTTTTCAAATTCTTTCTTGAAGTAAGCTTTGTTCTTCTTGCTCTGTCTCCTAATGCAGACATTGGTCTGCTTGCTGGTGTCCCCTAATTTGTTTAGGTGTTCTTGATTTCATTCTCTTTTCTCATTTTATTCTTCTGGCTTAGATATTTCAAGTGACTATCTTAACATTGCCAGTTTGTTCTTCTGCTTGATCCAGTCTATTGTTGATCCCCTATAATGAATTTTTCAATCTCCCTTCTGAAGAAATTTGTCTGTCTGTATCTGGAGTTCCCCCTGTTGTCTGTTTTTGATGTTGCAACCCCTGGTACTACAGCAAGCTATTATTTGACCATTGGTCCTCTATCTATGAGGCTCTGAAGCCACCATAGTGTGCCAGAGCCACAGTCATGGTTCATACTCCAAGTCTGGTACATGAATTGGGTGAAATAAAAACTAGTGCTTTGGGCATCCCCTTGAAAATTTGGATGCAAGTTTCAACCTTCTATTTCCTTTCTGATGTAGAGTTCTGGATTGTACTAGTCTGTGTTGGGAAATTGATGGGTTGTGGTAGGTAAGTGCAACACACTTTCCCACCATTTCAGTGTGCCTCTTGTGATCATGTGGGATACCACGACCTCTCAGTTAGTTTCTGGAATTCTCACAAAAGCAATCTGCTCTTTACCTTGTGAGGTTAATATCTATAGGGGAAGAGGATCTGGGTTCACTAGTCTGCCATGTTGCTGACCTTAGAATCCATCAGAAGAACTCCTTTGTGTGTTCTAAGTAATGATTTTATTTATTCTCTATGCTTTTTCTCTTTTTTCCCCTTAAAATGTTTTCTTTTAACCATTTTGATGTAATAATTTTCAAAGATCTGCTTGAAGATGCATGCATACTCTTCTCTCTCAATTTTTGAAAAACTTTTCCTATTGGGCATTATACTGTTCTTTTAATTCGCTTTTCTATGTATTTCACATGATTGCCTTTTTTAAGATTATTTATATGTTTATCTGAGAGACAGGGAGATATTGAGACAGAAAGCTCCCACTTCTTGGTCTACTGCCCAAATTCCCACAGTGGCTGGAACTGAAGGACTGAAGGTAGAAGCCGGCAACTCAATCCAGGTTTCCCACATGGGTGATGGGAACCTAGCCACTTGAGCCATCTCCATTCCCTCCCAGGGTCTGCATCATCAGGAAACTAGAGTCAGGAGTTTGAGCTGGGTTTCAAACCCAGTTACTCCAGCATGAGACTTGAGTTTCTGAACCACTAGCCTAAGTACTTGCCTAACTTGTTATCGTCTTGACAGGATTTTAAGTACTTTTATAGTAGATGATCTTAATTCTACCTTTTGTGGTCTATACACATGCCTAATGCAACACTATACTAGAAGGGGTTGAAATTATTTTATTTTATCAAAAGTAGCGAGATGTATTTGTTGTTAAGAGTAATTAGTAGCATCTGCTTAATATAATTCTAAGCACTTACTACCTTTGGTTTATTAGGTATTGTCCTTATAATCAATTTAGTTTTCTGTGGATCTACTAATACTTATTTTAAGAATTGAGTGATAGTGGAGGCTTAAATGATAGAGGCCTAAACAGTGATAATTAAATATGTAGGTATTAGAATTCCATTTTGTGCTGTGGGGGTTGGAAACATTGTGGTACAGCTGGTTAACCTGCTACTTGGACTCCCACAACCTATATCAGAGGGCTGGATTATATCTTGGCTGCTTTGCTTCTGATCCAGTCCCTTATGAATGTGCCTGAGAAGCAGCAGACAATGGTTCAAGCACTTGCATTCCTGCTACCTGTCTGTGAGATCTGGATGGAGTTGGCTTCTCATTTCAGCCTCACCCAGCCCTAGCTGTTGCGACCATGTGGGGAGTAAACCAGCAGAAGGAAGATTCATTCTCTCTCTGTCTGCCTTTCAAATAATTTTTGAAAAGCTGCCACTCGGCATGTCTGCATCTCATATTGGAGTGGCTAGGATCGAGTCCCACCTATGCTTCTGATTCAGCTTTCTACTGATGCAAACCCTGGAGGATAGCAGATGTTAACTCAAGTGTTTCGGTCCCTGCTATGCATGGGGGAGACCTGGGTGGAGTCCCTGGTTCCAGCTTGGCACAGCCCTTGGTGTTGTAGGCATTTGGAGAGTTATCCAGTAGTTGAAAGATACTTTTCTCTAATTCACTCAGTCATTCTGCTTTTCAAGTAAATAACCCTAAAAAAAACTGTGATGAAACATACGTAAGAGTTATCATTTAGTCCCTGATTTGAGGTGGAAAAGACTAAGTGGTTAAGGAAGCTTAGAATTCTTAAATCATTTTATGAAATTACTAAGCTGCATGAGTAGCAAATAGTAATTTTTATTTTTTTTAAGATTTTTTTTTTTTATTTGAAAGGCAGAGTTACAGAGAGGCAGATGCAGAGAGAGAGAGAGGTCTTCCATCTGCTGGTTCACTTCCCAAGTGGCCACAACAGCTGGAGCTGGGTCCATCCCAAGCCAGAAGCCAGGAGCTTCTTCCAGGTCTCCCACTCGGGTGCGAGGGCCCAAAGACTTGGGCCATCTTGTACTGCTTTCCTAGGCCATAGCAGAGAGCTGGATTGGAAGTGAAGCAGCTGGGTCTCGAACCAGCGCCAATATGGGATGCCGGCACTGAGGCAACAGCTTTACCTGCTATGCCACACAGCGCCAGCCACAGTAATTATTTTTAAAATAGAAATGCTAATACAGACTTGAAAATTTTGATTTGTGATATTGGATATACCTACTTTGTTTGTTGAATTTCTTTTTCTGTGTTTTTTTTTTTAATTAAGATTTATTTTATTTATTTGAATGGCAAATGCCGTTACAGAAAAAGGGAGAGACAGAAAGGTCTTCTATCCACTGGTTCATTCCCCAAGTGGCTGCAGCGGCCACGGCTGGGCCAAGCAGAAGCCAGGAGCTCATCCAGGTCTCCCACGTGGGTGTAGGGGCCCAAGCACTCGGGTTGTCCTAGACTGCTTTCTCAGGCACATTAGCATGGAGCTGGATTGAAGTGGAACATCTGAGACTCAAACTGGTGCTCATATGGAATGCCAGTAACCTATTAAGCCATAACGCTGACCGCTTGTTTGTTGAATTTCTGGTGCTGGTATAATGGTTACTATGGCTTCTCTGGCTATTTATTGTATGAGTAAGTCTAGTTATTCATTTTGTTAATGTTCATTGAACCCTTAGAGCATGTGAGCCATTTTCACTTTCTGTATTTTATTTGATCTTCAAAAGAACACTGATTGGGAATTACTATACTGGTCTTTCAAGTGTTGAGCAGTTATCTTTAATAGAGTTCATTGTTTGCTTAAGATGCAGGTAACAAATACCAGTGTCTCTTTTCAGTTTCTCATCTCAAATAGTTATGTTATTGTTTTACAGAAGGTAACAGATCATGTATTGACAGAGTATTTAAAGGTCTAATTTTTTTTAAAGGTTCCCTGTATATTGGGTTTTAGTTTTACCTTGTATTTCCCCCTTCCAGAATCCACCAAATCCACCTGTGTCACCAGGAAAGTCTACAAATGATGTCAACAGCAATAATAATATGCCCTACAGGTGAGAATTATGAATAGTACATCCGGTTGTTAAATATCAGAACAAGGGTGTTTATTTTGTAGAAAAATCTTAGAATATATTTCTGTAGAAATAAATGTTTGATATACTGGATTGAGTATGTTTACTTTTTCTGATTTGTTATTTTTATCTTGATACTACTTTTGTTCATGTTAATACTCATTTTGTTAATTTGTTATAAGGCTTTCTTCATTATGTATTCTTTTACTACTTGTCATAAATAGTATTCTCTTAAGTAGTTGAGAAATGCTTTATTGAAGGATAAGAAAGACTGTGTGTGTGTGTGTGTGTGTGTGTGTGTAAAAGACCTATATTTGTTCTTTTGGTTAAGTATTGATAATGTTAGAATGTAAGAGCAAGACTCTTCCCTGATAGCCTAACCCAAGCACTTAAAATTTTTGTCTGTGTGCTAACTATGCACACATTACACTGGTTTGTGGTTTTAAGAGTCACTACATTTTCTGTACATCAATTAGTGTCTTGATGAATGCCATATATGTTGACTTATTGTGTCTGTATTTCAAAGGAATGCAAGCACAGTAAGACAGATGCTGGAATCCAAAAGAAATGCAAGTGAGAGTACACCACCATCTTTTCAAACTCCTGTAAATACAGGTAACATTTCCTAACACTGAAATACATTTTGTTAGGTGGTGAAGGTTTTCATTATTTTACATGCGTTTGAGGTTGAAATGACTAAAGAATGGGGCACATTAGTCTTAAGTACAACATTTTTAAAATTCAGAATCACAGAGAAGTATGTGGCATTCACATATCTCTAGTGTGGTAGTACATTCAAATTTTCTGGTCTTTTGATGCCTTCGTAATCTTAACAAATTATTAATTATGAAGAAAATGGTTTATGTGGGGTTATTATACCAGTTGACATTTACTATTAGTTGAAATTTAATAGACATTAAAACAAAATTCTGGAGTGTTTATTCATTTAAAAATAGTAAACCCAAAATTTGTAATGCTGAGAAAATTTTCATGAAAAATCATAATTTTTCAATAAAAAATACTGATATGAAAGTATCATTGTTGTATATTCACATATCTTTAATGTTTGGTTTGGTATATTAAAACAGCTGAAGATAACTGGATTCTCAGCTCTGTACTTGCTTTCAGTCTGTTCTGGTGTATTGGTTTGGTTGAAGTGTTTGAAAGAAATGCAGTCTCCTGTAAAGCAAAGCCACTAAGGAAGTTCATGGAAAATGCATGTTATGAAAAATGTGTATATGGATCTCAGATTTTTTTAAACCATGCTAAACTTACCTTTTAATTCAGTTACTCCATGGGCTTTTTAAAGTAGCTGCATATGTAGATGTAAAAGGTCTAGCCCATTTAGCTAATTGTAGATATTCTTTGGTACAGGCAAGTACTAGTTTTTTTAAGGTTTGTGCAGAGTGGTCCCATCACACTGTAATGGAACTGAAAAGTTGCTAACAACTCTGGAGATGGAATAGTTGTTGTAATATCATAGTGGAAAACATTGCTCACATGTTTGGTGTTGCTGGCATAAGCACACTTTGCTGCCAGTCATATTAACGTATATCACAAATGATTATTCACAGCACATAATACTTGATGAGAATAAGTGAACTATGTTACTGATTTATGATTATGTTATATTTATACTTTTAGAGTGTAAACATAAAAAAGAAAGTTTGCTGTAAAATAGTATGCCATGTTATGCCAGCAGCAGCCTCATACTTCTCATGTTTACTTAGTTTCTTGATTGCCTCAAGAGGCCAGTCAAGTGATTGGTCTTGACCTTATAGGTTTAATTACATTCTTTGATGTTCATACAACAGTGACATCTGTTTCCCCATCATTAAACAGTGTATGACTTTTTAGGAGAAAACATAGTATACAGAGGGTTCTAAACCATGTATGTTTCATGCATCCTCTGGGTTCTTTGCAGTGTCCCCCACAGATGAGGCGGGGAGACTGTTGTGCTAAGTAAGGCATTAGAAGTTTTACTCACCATTGCTTTTGCTCCATCAATGCAAGTGAACACACTGTGAATACGTCAGATATTTTCTTCTTATTCTCATTATTATTATCATGAAAATAGTTTTGGCATTGCTGAGTCCCTGAATGGTTTCAGGAAACCCCTGTACTACACTTTAATAATTGCTGCTTTTAGTGTAGCTGATTTTGAGAAGATTTTAAAATCAATAAAAAATAACCTTAATCCTATTTTAAACCCATTCCAAGGAGAATAAACACAAGTAGTTACATCAGAATTACTGTAAAACTCTAGTGGCCACAATTTTTATCTTTTCTGCACTTTGGTATATACTGTCTTCTTAATTTATCTTCCATCCTTGTTCAGTGCTGTTTTCTGTGTTGTACATTGTCAGAAGAGAGAGCTTTCCTTCATTAGTTGAGGGAATTCAATAAAACTTGGTCCACAAATACAGGTTTCTCATGATCCAAATTAAAAAATATAATGACAGAGTTTACCTATTATCTGTTGACGGTCCTGACTCTTTCTGGGTTTACTATTTGCATTTATGTATTGCTGGTATTTACAGCATTCATAGTATTTTTTACAGTTATTTTTTTTAATGTACATTTTTACTTAGTTATTTTGCTAATTACTTTGAAATGGTAAATTTCAGACTTTTGATGTTGAGATATAAATCATAAATTATATACTGTTTTCATGATATACCCAATATATATTCAGAATACTTCTAAGAATTTCCAGAATTTAAATTTAGAAAAATTTCATTATGAAAAACTATACCCAACACAGTATGTTGGATTTGTATGTATTATATTGTCTTAGCTAATAAATTAAGGTAGCTCTTTAAATATAGACTTCATTTTCTTTTGTAGTATCTTCAACCAACCTTGTCACTCCACCAACAGTTGTCAATAGTCAACCTAAATTGCAGACTCCAGCAACTTCGGGTTCTCTGACACCAGCTTCAGTTCTTCCTGCACCCAACACAGCTACAGTTGTTGCTTCTACTCAGGTGCCTAGTGGAAATCCCCAGCCTACAATCTCATTACAATCTTTGCCAGTGATTTTGCATGTTCCTGTTGCGGTGTCCTCCCAGCCTCAGCTCCTGCAGAGCCATCCAGGGACTTTGGTGACCAATCAACCATCTGGCAACGTTGAATTTATATCTGTGCAGAGCCCACCTGCTGTTAGTGGTCTTACCAAAAATTCAGTATCCTTGCCATCCTTGCCAAATCCCACAAAACCAAACAGTGCTCCGTCTGTACCCAGTCCTAGTATTCAAAGGAACTCTCCTGCCAGTGCGGCACCATTAGGAACAACGCTTGCTGTGCAGGCTGTGCCAACAGCACACTCTATTGTACAAGCCACAAGGACTTCATTGCCCACTGTAGGACCATCAGGACTTTATAGTTCATCCAGTAATCGAGGTCCTATACAAATGAAAATTCCAATCTCAGCTTTTAATACTTCATCTCCTGCAGAACAGAGTGGCACTACTACCCCAAGAGTTGGTAAGTCACTGTGTAAAAATACAAGTATGTTAATGATATTTAGATGACTCAACTTTTGGATGTGGCTAGGATTATTGGAAAAACAGAGTAAAAATAGAATTTCTTTTAGATTTTTTAGTAAATTTTCTAGCTAAGTAAGAAAAATAGTTGTTAAAATGGGATTTGAGAATGTTTGAGAAGCCACCATTTATATATATTCTTTCAGTAATTTTCCTAGTTTTGTTGAATTTTCAACTTAGGCTTTAGACCCAGCATAATGAATTATTTTAATGATTCATTTGCCAGGCTATATATAATACAAAGTGTATAAATGACATAAGGTATGTTTGTAAGAGAACAATAAAAGCCACCTACCCTCCCTGCTCATTTGGTAAAATTCTTTTTGTACTTACAACTTCCAATTACAGCAGTTTCAAGCAAGGGTCTTACCTCTGTTATTTAGTATAAAATGTTTTGATACCTTTTTGTTTTTTCTAGGCCCTTTATGTATATACATACACACAGAAATTGATATGTGTGTGTGTATGTGTTGGTTTTTTTTGTTTGTTTTTTGAGAGACATAGAACCAGAGAACTCCCATGAACTGATTCATTGCCAAATGCCTATAGTTGGCCCCAGAGACAGGATCTGGGAACTAAATTCAGTTCTTCCATGTGAGTGGCAGGGACCAAATACCTGAACTATCACTTGCTGCCTCCCAGGGTCTGTATCTGGGGAAAGGTGGGATTGGGAGCCAGAGCCAGGAATCAAACCCAGGCATTCCCATGTGAGACATGTACATCCTAACTGCTAAACCAAATGTCCACCTTTCTTATGACATATTATATGGTTTTGTTTGGATTTTACTGAGAAGTATTGCAAAAAGAGAAATTGAGTATATGTGTATTTAAACTTTGAGAACTCCATGTCCTTCTTGTTCCTAGAAATCCTACATTTTGTATGCATTTTAGCTTGGTTATTATTTTTTACTTTAGTACATTTACCCCCACTACTTTTGGAAAGATAACCAAGAATGATTGACATACATATTGTGACATCATTATACCATTGTACTTATTGATGTAGAAAGTGACATTAAAGTATGAGACATAGTGCATAACTACTTACATCAGTTAGAAACACAACCCTGCTTATCATGAAACCATTAGTATTATATTTACCCACTAAGTGGATTTTCTTATATAAAATAGTGATGTTGTTTCACAGAATTATTAAAGTATGTGGCAGGTCAAATGTTTTTTAAAAAATCCTGTTTTTAAGAGATTTTTGTGACGTACTTTTATTTTTTTTTTTTAAGATTTATTTATTTACTTGAAAGAGTTACACAGAGAAAGGAGGAGAAGCAGATCTATCTGCTGATTCACTCCCTGGATGGCCTCAACGGCTGGAAATGTGCCGATCCAAAGCCAGGAGCTTTTTCCAGGTCTCCCACACGAGTGTAGAGGCCCAAGGAATTGGGCCATCATCTACTGCTTTCCCAGGCTGTAGCAGAGAGCTGGATCGAAAGTGGAACAGCCAGGACTCGAACCGGCACCTATATTGGATGCCAACACTTCAGGCGGCAGCTTTACCCACTATGCCACAGCACTGGCCCCAGGTCAAAATTAATACTGGACTAAAGCTGAATATTACCCTCATACATCTGGCATAGGACAGTAAACTGACATTCTATGTGAAAATGAAATCATTGAGACCGACATTATGGCATACCAGGTAAAGCCACTGCCTCTGATGCTAGCATCCCAAAGGGTGCCAGTTGGAAACCTCACTACTTCATTTCCAATCCAGCTTCCTGAAAATGCGCCCGAGAAAGCAGCAGAATACACAGCCCAAGTGCTTGTGCCTCTGCACCCGTGTACATGGGAGATCTAGAAGAACCTCCTCACTCCTGTTTGGCCTGGCCCATCCCTGGCTGTTGTGGCCATGTGGGGAGTGACTCAGTAGTTGCAAGACACTCTGTGTGTGTTTGTGTGTGTGTGTGTGTGTGGGTGTAATTATGGGGCTGGTGTTGTGGCAGGGTGAGTTAGGCCGCCATCTGTGACGCCAGCATCCCATCTGGACACTAGTTCAAGACCTGGCTGCTTACTTCCAACCAGCTCCCTGGTAATGCACCTGGAAAAGCAGCGGAAAATGGCCCAATTGTTTGGGCCCCTGCCACTCACATAGAGACCCAGATGAAGTTCCTGGCTCCTGGCTTTGGCCCAGCCATTGTAGCCATTTGGGGAGCAAACCAACAGATGGAAGATCCTTCTCTCTGTGTCTTCTTCTCTCTCTGTGTAACTCTATCTTTCCAGTAAATAAAATGAATCTTAAAATGCAGTACTTACATATATATATATATTTACATGTGTGTATATATATATATATATATATATATAAAGTACTTAATAGTACTTATATTAAATGTTTGCATAGTTCAGACAATGTTTCTTAGCATTATATGCCTCCAGGTTGTTAGACACTCTTTCATGATGCAACACTAATGCCTACTTTTAATTGAGGTTAGTAGACAAGATTTTTGGAGGATACTTCATTTCGATCTAATTTCTTTTTCTTATAATTCTAAAAGTAACTTTCACAATGTAATGATTTATGATGGACATCGTTTTATGTGACTTGCGGTATTGTTTTATTTCATGGTTATCTCATGAGATCTACTCCTAAATATAAAACTTTACTGAAATATTAAGATCTTTATTTCATGTCCCTTGAATGCTTACCTTCATTTGAAAATGAATTTAGTTATTAACAGTAATTGTGAATGACAAGTTTTGTATGTTGTTTTCATAATGTTATTTAGATTGAAGCCTATAAAAATATACATTCTTTGATTATGCATAATTTAAGGAGAACCATAAATGACATTAATGTAGGCATTTGTTCAGTCAGCCCAAAACCTGAGCTGAAACCAAACCAGAAGATTTGGGTGAATATGAAAATTGAGGGGCCGGTGCTGTGGCACAGTAGTTTAATCCTCTAGCTGTGGCGCCAGCATCCCATATGGGTGCCGGTTCTAGTCCTGGCTGCTCCTCATCCAATCCAGCTCTCTGCTGTGGCTTGGGAAAGAAGTAGAAGATGGCCCAAGTGCTTAGGCCCCTGCACCAGCCTGGGAGACCAGGAAGAAGCACCTGGCTCCTAGCTTCAGATGGGCACAGCTCTGGCTGTTGTAGCCATCTGGGGGAGTGAACCAATGGAAGGAAGACCTTTCTCTCTTGTCTCTCCCTCTCACTGTCTGTAACTCTACCTGTCAAATAAATAAGTAAAATCTTTTAAAAAAGAGAAGAAAATTGAAGCCAAACTTAAATACATCTCTACTTATGTAATAAATTATATAATTTAAAACTTCATGAAGGGGCTGGCGCTGTGGTGTAGCTGGTAAAGCCAATGCCTACAGTGCTGGCATTCCATATGGGTGCTGGTTCAAGTCCCAGCTGCTCCGTTTCTGATCCAGCTTTCTGCTATGGCTTGGGAAAGCAGTAGAAGGTGCCGCAAGTCCTTGGGCCCCTGCACCCATGTTGTAGACCCAAAAGAAGCTCCAGGCTCCTGGCTTTGGATTGGTGCAACTCTGGCCATTACGGCCACCTGAGGAGTGTACCAGCAGATGGAAGACTGCTCTCTTTCTCTTCCTCTGCCACTCTGTAACTCTGCCTTTCAAATAAATAAAATAAATCTTTTTTAAAAATTTTATAAATAAAAAACTTTATGAATCTTATATAGGTATTAGTCACTTGAAAAGGTATGCTAGATGACTGACTACGTGTCATTTGTATGTATTTTTTTGATAGTGATAATTCAGGATAACGTCATAGATTTCAAGTCAGTATTTTCTGTTTATCATAAAATAAATCTCCTAGAGCTGCTTGGAAGCTTAGAGCTCAAATTTATACCTAATTTCATTCATTCATGTCTGTCTTGTTCTGAAATCTTGCTGATAACAGAAATATACCTCTATAAAGCAATCTTGTTGCATGTAAAGCAAAATTTTTAATTTGTAGAAGTTTATAAAATGACTTTTTTTTTAACTTCTCAGAAAACCAGACAAACAAAACAATAGAAGCTTCTGTTAATAAGAAGGCAGCTGATAGCACATCACAGGTAAGATTTTCCCTTCTACTTCAAAGTAAAATTTTAAGTACAACCCACAAGAAAATGGATTTCCATCAATATCCCTTGATACAATGAAAATTATTATAAGTCTGTTTCTTACAGCTGTCCCTTTTTTTGTACTTCTTTGTAATGTTTGACAACAGCTCAGTTGTTTTGCTTTAGCAGTTCTCTTAGATACTAGTTTCATGTATTAACTGATTTGATTATTTGCTTAAAGGTGCAGACATTCGCCTTCATACACTGCAGTGTTTCATATGCCTCAAGAAAACACTTATAATTTCTTCCAGGCCCATCTTTTTGAGAGGTCTTACTGGCTTACTCTAACCTTATACCTGCCATCTGCTCCTCCCACCATCACCATTTCATCTCCCTCAATGTTATTTGGAAATATCTTGGGGAAGCAAGTCTTTGTCTTTCTGATAGCTTATTAGCACTTCGCCAGTTTTGGTAATTTTTCATGTTAAAATCTTAATTACCCAGTAATGTAGTTACTACTACTTTCCTCTGTTAAGTCTTCTTCCTAGTTCTTCTGCACCACTTTTTGGTTTAATTGATTCATAGCAAAGTAATTAGGTGGTTGATAGTTGTATTCTCTTCCCTTTTAAACAGTGTAAGAAAACTCATATTATTCCTAGAAAAAACAAACAGTCTTGAGCATGTCATGCTAAGATAAGTGATAGGAATTCATAAAACAAGGGAATAATGATGTTAGTAATCATAGTTATGACTTTTTTCCTTTAAAAATGAAAGGTTTTTGACCCAAGCTAGATACCCTGATTTGATGGTTTGTATTGTAGACCAAAAAAGCTAATAAGAATTTTTATTTCTTACAAACTTAAGCTGTTTTTGTGTAATATTAAAAGTCAGAATTGTATAAAACTATATAAAATACTTACTCTAGAAGACAGGTGATACAGAAATGTTTGCATATTCCGTGACTTCTAAATGACACTTATTAGGAAATCTGTCTGTACTTTATAAAGGAAACCTCATAAAACTAAAGAAAGAATTTATAAACATCTTTAAGTAAATTTTTTTAGTTGGTTTGATAACCTGAGTAATATTTTCAAGACAGGAAACTGGACAGTCTAATGCTAGCTCCCTATTCTATAAATTGTGGTTCTTCAAAAGGTGTACTAATATGCTAACTACTGGCCGCACTGAGATGTTAAATTACAAATTCAGTTCGTCAGCTGCAGTCACTGTGTTTTCAAGGGTCAATAGCTGTCTGTTGCTGGTGACTCCAGTACAGGACAACATAAATATAAATATTTGCAGTGCACTGTCTAAAGTTCTTTGCTGAAATATAGTGTATGTAATATCATAAACCTTTAAGTGAAATTAAAACTGCTATAGTCTTTAAGTTCAAGATGAATAAATAAGACAATGCAAAGCACAATTATACCTAACTTCTTACTGTAGTTTAGAAAGTTGTACGTATTTACATTTCACAGATTTTTAAGATCAAAAATATTTTACTTGACATTCTATACAAGAGAAATATTTGAAGAAACAACTTGTATCAGTCAGTCCAAGAAATGTTTGAAAATCCAAAAGATATGTGAGACTGGAATTAATTTTATCAGCTAGCAAAGAGATTGTAGAACCAAATATTAAGTTCACAGTAGATACTTTAGTGGACCAGTAGTACAGGGAACCTTTTTTTCCTGCCACAGGCCACTTGGGTATTTACAACATTACTCACAGGCCACATGTAATTATCAACATAAAAATTACCTGTTATAGATTTATCGACAAATTCTACCTGTGATTGCCTTGACAGGGCCAGGCCAAATCATTTTATAAACCAATAGTTTCCTGATTGCTGGACTAGGTTATGTAAAACATACACAGGCACTTGATTGAATAACTAACCTACTTAAAGCAGTGCTGTGTTATAAATAGCAAAATTGTAGCTTTAAATGAATGCCAGTTAAGGATATGAATAATAAACATAACAGAAGAGTTTCATTATATCTTAAGAAACCATTGTTTCTTAAGAAACCGTAATGTGTATGGTGGTACTTCAAAAAGGAAAAAATGGAGTTAAAAAGGTTTATTTTGGTATGTAAATTTTTTCATGCCTAATACAGGTCTCCAAAAAAGTACAAAGTTCATGGAAACTGCATATGAAAAATGCAGTTTCAGTTTTTTTTTGCACCAGAGTAAATTTATAATTCCACTTTTCCCACAAACTTTTTGAAGTCCCTCATAATTTGCTTGCAGTCAGAAGAAAATTTAAAAATACGGTTTTTGTCATTGTTCATTAATGTAACACTGTTGGTTTTTTGAAGATATATTAAGTGATTTTTGTTGGCTTTTTACCCTCTATACTAATTAGTACCAGGAAGAAACTAGATGAGACAGGTAACTGATTTTCTGAAGTGCCAATTTTTAAGTACACTTGGCTAATTTCTTTTTTTTCTATGCCTCGTCTGCTTAGATGAACTTCTTAAGACTACTGCAGATGAAAAGGAACACGGATGGATATAGTGTGGAAATAGTTATTGTTCAGCCATTGGTAATCAGTCAAATAACAGTTATCCCTATTACCCATAGGGGTTTTCATTCCAGGACCCTCAGTTTGTACCAAAATGTTATGCTCAAATCACTTGCCTAAAATGGTGTAGTATTTGCATTATAACCTACTCACATCCTCTACCACACTTTTCATTCTAAATTACTTAAAATACTTAATATAGTGTAAATATTATGTAAGTACTTGTAATGTTTAGGAATAATGAGAAGAAAAAATTTTGTACATGTTTATTACAGGGCAATTTTTTTCAGATATTTGATCTGTGATTATTTAGATCTGCAAATTGAGAACTCATGGATATAGAGGACTGATTCTTCTTTTTATGTCATTTCGTCCTTAAGTGGAGATTTTTCTAATGTTCCCCAACAATTATTAATATATTTTATTCTGAATTATATGTCAGTTATACATGATTTTATGTATCTTATATAGTGAAAATAAGTTTTTTCAAATTACCAGTATATGTCACAAAACAGTATAGAATTCATTTTTATGTTGCCATCTGCAATAATACTGTCATTTTTAAGAAATCAAGATCATTGTCCAGGCATAGTAGCAGGTTATACTCATGGTAACGGTTTATCCGAGCAAAAGGTGTAGAGCAAAATCAACAGGAAAAAGACTTGCATTGAGGGCTAGCGCCTGAGACATTGGTATGCCATATTGGCACTGGTTTATGTCCTGGCTGCTCCACGTTTGATCCAGCTCCCTGCTAATGTGCCCAGGAAAGCAGCAAAGGATGGCTCAGGTCCTTTGGCTACTGCTCCCATGTGGAAGACCCAGATGAAACTCAGGGTTTGGCCCAGCCCTGGCCATTGCTGCCATTTTGAGGAGTAAACCAGCAGATTAAAGACCTCTGTCTTTCCCTTTTTCTCTAACTCTGCCTTTCAAATAAATTAAATACATCTTAAAAAAAAAAAAAAAAGATTGGCATTAAGTAGAGTTCAAAGCAGTCAGGAACAGGCTTCCAAATGTTCTTTTGTCTGGGCTCCTATAGGGTTTACTTTATCCTTGGCTTATTAACTTAGTAATTTAGTAAAGACCTGTGCAGGAACTCTTTGCCCAGAGAAGTGTGATGAGTCGTAGAATCTGAGGTTTTATTGAGGGCTAGTCACATAGCCATACTTTTCTATGTAACCGATCAATGGCATTGGAAACTCTCAAGATTCCAGTAGTGAAGACCCAAGTGTACATCATCAATCATATTTATGCAGAGCAGTTCTAATGAGCCAGTATGGCACAATCCACTACCCAGCATATACATAAAAACATTATTAATAATTAATATGACTTCCAGCTGCCACTTTCCTGATAACTGATGATGGCTCCATTATGATTTAATTTCTCTTAAGGAGATGTGAAAGGAGTGAGCTCCTGGGTATTTTATGTTAAATTGACCTTGGCTGGTGTGCTCTACTCTTGCCTTTCAAGTAAGTTCTTATTTGTTGAATTTCAAAAACTACAAAGCCACTATCTCTTAAAAATTTCTTGGTGTTTAGTTAGTGAGATGACATTTTTAGAATTTCACAAGGTCAGCTAACTTTGTTTTGTGTTTTTTTAATTTTTTTAAACTTTTATTTAATAAATATAAATTTCCAAAGTACAACTTTTGGATTCCAGTGGCTCCCCGCCCCCATAACCTCCCTCCCACCCACAACCCTTCCATTTCCCGCTTCCTCTCCCATCCCATTCACATCAAGGTTCATTTTCAATTATCTTTATATACAGAAGATCAATTTAGTATATACTAAGTAAAGATTTCAACAGTTTGCACCCAAACAGAAACACAAAGTGTTTGAGTACTAGTTATACCGTTAATTTGCATAGTACAACACATTAAGGACAGAGATCCTACATGGGGAGAAAGTACACAGAGACTCCTGTTGTTGATTTAACAATTGACACTCCTGTTTATGGCGTCAGTAATCACCCTAGGCTCTTGTCATGAGTTGCCAAGGCTATGGAAGCCTTTTGAGTTCGCCGACTTTGATCTTATTTAGACAAGGTCGTAGTCAAAGTGGAAGTTCTCTCCTCCCTTCAGAGAAAGGTACCTCCTTCTTTGATGACCTGTTCTTTCCACTGGGATCTCACTCACAGAGAGATCTTTCATTTAGGTTTTGTTTGTTTGTTTTTTTGCCAGAGTGTCTTGGCTTTCCATGCCTAAAATACTCTCATGGGCTTTTTAGCCAGATCTGAATGCCTTAAGGGTTGATTCTGAGGCCAGAGTGCTATTTAGGACATCTGCCATTCTATGAGTCTGCTGTGTATCCCGCTTCCCATGTTGGATCGTTCTCTCCTTTTTAATTCTATCAGTTAGTATTAGCAGACACTAGTCTTGTTTATGTGATCCCTTTGACTCTTAATCCTATCATTATGATCAGTTGTGAACTGAAACTGATCACTTGGACTAGTGAGATGGCATTGGTACATGCCACCTTGATGGGTTTGA